TTATTTTCCAAGGTATTAAAATGAGGTGATCCATATTACAGAGCTTCAGAAAGCTGATGGAAATTGGAATTAAAAGGTAATGGAAATTTTCCACAAAGATTTTGAAGCCCCATCATGTAAGGTCCATGGCTTCATGAAGAGCTTGGATCGCTGCTGTGTTCCGTAGAGTTGGTTCCGTAGAGTTGGTTCCGACTCGGAGCCACTCTATAGGACACCGTAGAGCTGCCCCATGTAATTTCCTAGGTTGTAATTTACTTAGGGCAGACCACCCAGCCCTCCCCCAGGCAGTGACTGGTAGATTTGAAATGTCTAACTTCCTCTTAGCAGCCAAGGGATTAGTCTTTTTGCCACCTGGGTTCCTTATTGAGTCCAGAGCATGTGATAAAAACAACAACAACAAACTGTTTTAATATTAAAGTAGATTCTATAGTATATAAATTGCTATAAAATAAGTACAAGCTTTGAGTTAAAAAATTAACTCGCTGTTCTGTGTCTCCATCTGAGCCCATAAATGCTCAGTGTCATAAATGATTGATTAACTTTAATTACATTTTGAGGATCAAGGCCTAACTCAAGAGAAGAAGAGATAGATGTGCTATTCCCAATTATTGATCTATCATAACAGCTTGCTGTAATGAAAACCATATGTAGCCATCAGTTTTTATTCATTTTCTATAACCTTGGCCTCAACATCTTGGTAGATGGATGTTTTTCTAGTCACAGCTAATGTTGTTAATGGCATTGAGTAGAAATATCTTTGGAAAAACATATTGTGCACAATCAGTGTTATAATGACCATATGTGACATTTTTATGATCACTTGAAATTACTCATTACAGGCAAAACAAGACTTATTAGATCAGTAAGTGTTTTCTTGAGCACTTTGAGATTGCCAAAAATTATCGTATGCTGGTACTTAAAAATATCAAAGTTATTCTTTGAGACAAAATAGCAATTACAACAAATGTCTGTGTTCAAAGGTTAAATATGCTGTGAAGGTTCTTCTGAAGATTATAGACAAGGATTGCTGGTTTGGCCTGCCAGCAGTCAGAATTTACGGGATTCATGTCAAAACCACTGCACAGAGGAACAAAGTGTCCCTCAACGAAAGGTTTTCTCTGTGAAACAGCTGTAGAGTCATATTAGTGTCTTGGGTTCACAAGAAGAAAGGCAAGGTGGTATTTGAAGTGCGTGTAGGCTTTCTAAATTGATTTAATAGTTTCATCTCTTGAACATGGTTTAGGGTTCCCAGAGTTACTGTAACAAATTACCAAAAACGGAGTGGCTTCTCAGAACAGACATGTATTGTCCACAGTTCTGGAAACTAGCAGCTTAAATTCAGAGTATTGGTAGGGCCATATTTTCTCCCAATTGCTGCAGGATTTGTTTTTGTTTTTTCCTTTCGCAGCTTCTGGTAGCCCCAGGTAGTCTCTGGCTGTAGACACATTTTCACTTGACCCTTCTCCCTTTGTTTCTCTTCCCCACCCCCCCACCCCCCGTTGATGAGGACACTGCTTTACTCCAGCACACCCTTACGTCAACTTTTAAGCTCTTTAAAGCTCCTGTTTCCAAACCAGATCGCATTTGCAGGTACCAGGTGTTAACATTTCACCATTTCCTTGGGCAGGAGAGCAGTTAATGGGATGGGGTGGGGGTGGGGTCACAATTCAATCATAACAGAAACTTGAAGGTAGAATTCAAGTTTTAATAAAATAAAAACTTTCTGTTAGAAAATATGTGCATTCTGGTATTCATAGCAACCACTCACAAAATGTTTGTAAATATACAAGGGGGCTTCAAAATTTGATGGAAATTTTTCATTATTTTTATCCCCCTTTTCCACAAACATTTTGAAGTTCTCGCAACTGTAATGCCCCTAGAAAATATGTAGATGCCCCAGTTATACTTTTTAAAAATTTTATGTGATATAGTCTACATAATTTATGTGATACAGATGGTCAAAAGATGTTTATTTCTTTACATGCTTTAGATAAACTTTCTTACAACTTTAGCTAGTCCCTAGTTCTTTGTTTGCTAGTCGAAGCAAATTCTTCTGTGCTTTCATTTTCCTATTCATTAAATTACGTGTCTTTATTTAGATAATCTACCTCTTTCGCTCTTACGAGTCTATGGATGCAGGAATCAATGGCATGCAAGGGAATGTGAGGGTTTCTCATTTAAAAGAAAATAAGTCATTTTTAGCAAATTAGAAAGGAAAATGGGGGGGAAATAGTGAAAACCTTACAATATTAATCCAAAGGAAAAATCATAGGGTTGAAAGTAAGTAGACTGATACGATAACCTTATTATGTCCCTAGAGTGTCCTTTTATTTTGATTCTTTTAATTGCATCTGGACTCTGTTGACGTATCTGTGGTCTTCAGATAGATTCTTTCAGTATCAGACACCATAGGGTTAGCTTGCTAAACTGCCATGACTGGTGAATGAGAATCCAGAGAGAATCTGGACTGTGGTTGGAAACCTAAATCAGAGTGCCCCTGATTTCTGCCGTGCCCTTCAGCTCTCTGTCTCCTGGGTCTGGGACTTTCCCAGTGAGATCCCAGGTCCACAATACCCACTCTGCACCCATCTCTTCTTTCTGTTGGTCGTCAAATCCCCCTCTTTTTCCTACTTCCTTCTCTGACTTGCTTCTTTCTCCTTATCTCCTGTGAGATTAAAGTGTGACTCAAGCAAGGTTGGTGAAGAAGTAGTGTGGGGGCCACATCCCACCTCCTTTCCCTATAAAAAAGAGAGAAGGAGCATTCAACTCCATATCTATCCAAGGATGGTTCCTATAAGGCAGAGGTCAGAGATGCCTCTGCCGGCCATTCTTTATCCTATTCTGACAACAGATGTCTGT